CGAATAATAACAGTGTTATGAAAATATAATTTATATTTATATAAATCTGAGTACATTCGCAAAATATCTAAACAAACTAACCTACGTGTTTATTCGTTCTTATTTGCTGACAGTCTATAAATAGCTCGTTGTTTGAAAATTAAATTTTTTTCTCGTTCAAAAGAATAACATAGTATATAAAAAATGCATTTACGCAGATTCCACAAGTTAGAAGTAAAAGCTTCAAAAAAGTAAATGAATAGTATGAATATTAGGGTAATTTTTTCTATAATATTATTATAATAATATATTAACAATATTTATAATTATTTATTTAATAATTATAAAACATACGCGCCTGTAAGGATGCAACCCTCCAGACACAGTTTGAAAATGTTGCTTGCGAGTGCCACCTGTTGGGAAGGAATTATTTTTCACTCCAAACTGTTCATACACGTGTGTATTGCAGGTTGCCTATCTTTCGGGCAAAACTAAAGTTCCATCCCAACAGGTGGCACTCGCAAGCAACATTTTCAAACTGTGTATGGAGGGTTGCATCCTTACAGGCGCGCGCATGTTTTATAATTATTAAATAAAAGTTATTATATTATTATAATAATATTATATAATAAATTACCCTCTCTCTAATCCTTATACTATACACTTACTTATTAGAAGGTTTTACTTCTAACTTGTGTAAGCTGCTCACATATTTTCTTTTTATACTATATTGTTCTTTTAAACAAGAAAAAAATTTAATTTTCAAACAACGAGTTATTTACAGACTGTCAGCAAATGAAAAAGAATAAACACGTAGTTTAGATTTTTTGCAAATGTACTTAGGTTTATATAAATATAAATTATATTTTCATAACACTGTTATTATTCGTGTTTACAGGTAAGTAACAACATCTATCTTTGTATAAAATCGTTACATTAATTTAACATTTTGAATCGTTAAGAAGAAAAATTGTTTATTTTAGTTTTAATTAGCATATTATAAAATTCATTGAGTTTAACTTTTGAGTTTTGTTTGACTATTCAAGAGTAAGACAGATACTTTTATACATTATTATTAATAATAGTTGAAATTATTATTAAAATTTATATCAACTTTTGATTGTTATGTTTACCATTTTGTTTGTTCTTTTTCTATAAATTTAAATCATTTTCTTTCAGTCTTTTTAGATATTTTATATACTCTTTTGTTGTTTTATTTTATTTCAAAAACAAATTGAACTTGAAATATAATTTCGTTTAATTAATTTTATTCATCGATAACATGGCCTCTTCTACGAAGGAATAACATAATTGATAACTGATCATAATATTAACAAATTAAAGGAAAATATTGCAATCAACTTTAGTTAAAAGGTAATGTGAGTTCTTTCATATCATTTTGTTTCTATCAAAAATAATATGAACAATAAATCATCGTTATATCAAACGTTATTTTTCTATAGGACTAGCATTAGAATTACTATCAAATTTAGGATACGTTTAAAAAGATAAATATACGAAAGTAAAATTGAATATCTTTTTTGTTTAATTATAGTGAACCATTAGGAAACAATGGGTATCATAATCTTATTGTCAGTGACATTTTTTTTTACATTCACAACCATCAACAGCATTTCTACATTATGCTTCGATAATACAAACTGTCTCTGTTCAACAAATGGTAACGAGATAATCTATTCTTGCAATAAAACTAAAGATAAGGCATTTTTCGTCAACATTATACCAATGGATTCCGTACAGGTGTATACACATTATTTTTATCATTTTATTTGATTATTTTATCTCGACAAAAACATACATTTTTGAATATTTTATGAAATATTTTATTTTGTCAGAAAAAAAAAATATCTGAACATTAATGTACAAACATTTAGAAATATCTTGTTATTAAAATAAAATATAATAATTTGACAGATTAATTGTTTAAATTGGCAAAATTGGCAAGAATATGATCTCAGTACAATTACAGTAGGAAAGGAAATGAATACGGTGAACTTTCAACATTGTGGATTAATGAATGAATTAAGTTTAAAAGATGTGATTACAAATTTAGGATTGGAACAAACAGATGAGCTTATATTTAATTCTTATAAAAACTATTATGGAAAATTAGAAAAAGAAGATCTTCGTGGATTTTATAATGTCAAAAAACTTGATTTATCATATAACGGTTTAACCAATATTTCACCGACTTTGTTTGACAATTTTCTAAATTTGAAGTCTCTTAATTTATCACACAATGAACTTAGATTACCATATACTGTTTTTGAAAAATGCAAATTTCTGGAAATACTCGATTTATCTTTCAATAATTTAACTAAAATATTTCACGAATTATTTTCTACATTATATTATTTGAAATATTTGGATCTTTCGTGTAATCATTTGGTGGATTTTGTATCTGGAACATTTGACAATTTGAAAAATGTAACATTTTTAAACATGAGTCACAATGATATAATGTATTTTACGGACGAAATGTTTTCTTCTTTACATTCCTTGGAAATACTTGATATTTCTTTCAATCAATTGATCGTCATTCAACCAAATTTATTGAAACATAATGCAATGTTAATTGAAGTGTATTTGCATGATAACAAAAAAGCGATAGGAACTTTGCCACAAGACTTTTTGGCAGATTTAACAAAACTTCGAGTAGTCTGTTTAAACAATAATAAATATCAATTTTTACCAGATAATCTTTTTGAAAATTCAACAGCGTTAAAATACATCAACTTGAGTTACAACAATCTTCCTACATTACCGAAGAATATTTTCAATGGTTTACGAAATCTTGAAAATCTTGTGCTAAATGATAATCGATTTGAAACACTTCCTTATCAAATCTTGAAAGATTTGATCAATTTAGAAAAACTCGATTTGTCTGGGAATAAAATGACTCATATAACAAGGTAACATTATTTTATCATTTATAATAAACAAACAAACAAAAATGTATATTTTATTATCATTTTTTGAAATATATGAATATTTTGTAGAGATCTATTTGACAACGTGCCATTTTTATTAGAACTAAATATGGAAAGAAATGAAATATCACAAATCGATGCTAATGCATTTGATAATCTGCTAATTTTAGAAATTGCTAAATTTTCTTATAATAAACTAACATTTGACAAGTATAATAATTGGTATTCACTTCGTAATAATCTATTTCTCGAGTCATTTCACTTATCACACAATAATATTGAATCGTTATTTTCCGCATGGACCAAAAATGGAGAATTTTTAAGATTATTAGATTTGAGTTACAATCAAATCAAAATCGTTAAGGTAAATATAATATTGTTTTTATATTTGAATTATCATCTTGATCATAATACTCTTGTCTATTTTTTTTTTTTTTATATAGACAGATGAGTTAATATTTCCAACGAACAAGTCTGAAATAGATCTTACATTTAATAAAATAGAACATATTTGTTTTAAGAAACAATTGCCAGATTATGTAAAAAATAATGAAATTGTTGTTCATCTCAATCATAATCCCATAACGTGCGATTCGTACTTATACGAATTTTTGCGTTTTCGTGTTAACAGAATGCCAAATGTTCAATCTCATTGTTTTCACTTTTTATTGGGTAATTTATCATGTACTAATACTGATGAAAGTGTCAGGACTAGAATGAAATACCTGAAATTAAGCAACGATATCTGTCACGAAGATTCATATATCAAAATAAGTAAAAGTTGTTTATCTAATTGCGAATGTAGTGTAAGACTGGATGAAGACAATAATCGCATTTTAGATTGCTCGTATAGAAACTTAACGAAATTCTTTGTCGATCCAAAAAAAATGAAACTATTAAGAGGATACAATTTAATAGTTAATCTCACTGGAAATTTTTTAACAGAGACACCATCACTTCATGAATTAGAAGACATTAACGTAATTGGATTATTGTTATCTAATAATAACATTTCTAAAATGAATGCTAAGATATTACCATTAAGTCTCAAAGTATGTTGTTGTTGCTTTTTTATTTTTGTATCATATTATTTTGCAATTTTATTTTCTATTAGAGTTATTTGATAAATTTGTTATATTACCTTTTGTAGATATTGGAATTTCATAATAATAATATAACATTAATTACATTGAACGATTTCAACAGTGTGGCTACTAAAAAATGGAAACATTTTACTTTAAGTGGTAACCCATTAATATGTAATTGTCATGTATCATGGGCATCAAGTTTGTTCCAATTTCTTCGATACAAACATTCAGATATAAACGGTTTAACATGTCAAGGCATCTCTATGTCGAAAGTTAAATGTTGATTTGTTCAACCAAAATTAATAATTATTTCGTTCTTTGATGTTGGAATAGTCATTTTGTTTTTAATTATGATTACATGACCAATTTTACGTAATATTTGTTAAAGAAAGATCAAGTGACAGATTACATTCATGAAAGTCATTTTAATATGCATCCTAGGTACAGTAATTTTAATCAGAATACATTTCTTTTTCATTCATTGCAATTCACTCTTACATTGTTTGAATTTTAATATGTTTTCTAAAAACATACTAAATCAATGTAATAAAACTGTGATTCCTTAAAAATATTGTCATTTATCTTATCTTGTAAAAATTGGATAAGAATAATAATACTAAGGGTGAATGAAAATGATTTGTAAAATGTTTTAATTTTTACTATACTTATTTAATTATATTATATATATATATATATATTAATTACGAATTAATTACTTCACATGCATATATATTGTATTGTATTGTTCTTTTCTGCATTTACATTTGTTATCTCGTATTTATCATTATTTATTTATCATTTATGTCTTATATGTTTGTATTCAAATTGACAATGTTCGGATTACAGATTTTGGAAAGGGTTTTTTTTTTTTTTATATATATATATATTTGTAAAAGTTAATAATTATGTTCTTTGTAATTTAGGTAATATCTTTGAAAAAAAAAAAAGAACAACTACACAATATCTTTGTTATATGAACAAACAATAAGTTTGTATAAAGATAAAATAATTCAGAAAATGTTAGGATATATTTCTGAAAATAATAGATAAAATAATATTTCAAGTATAATATACTATTTCATTAAATATAACATTATTTTTTTATTATATAAGAAAATATTAAAATGAATAATATTTGTATTACAGATTTTACAAAATATTTTAAAAGACAACAGCCTTGTTTCTTTTTTTTGTTTTTAAATATTTTTAAGTTAGAAGTTTCATTAAAATGAAACTTCTTTGTTGAAATATTATATTTTTCAATGTGAATAACATATTTTATTATCCAAAGTATGACTTTGTGAATAAATAAAATATTTTATTTTTGACATGTATAATTTTTCCCCCGAAAAAAAAATATTACATGTGTTATTATCGGAAGTATTATTTGTTAAATAATTAAAATGTAATTTTTTTTATTTTCTAAAATATTGTGTAGTATGAAAGATAATATTTATATGAATAATTCTAATTGTAAATGATTTAATGTTTCGATTAAATAAAATTATTTTTAATTTACTTTAAGTAGTAATACCTTGACGAATAATTTCAATATGACAGAAAAGAAATTGTTTCGTCAAATTAGATTTATTCATCTTTCAATTGGTCTTGAAAAGACAGTAACATTTGCTTTTCATCATCCATTATTATATCATCCATTTCTTCCACAGTTTTCAAATTATCTTCTTGTTTAGGATTATCTTCTTGTTCAGGATTATCTTCTTGTTCAGGATTATCTTCCTTTAGATCTTCCTCAGCATCATTCGTTTTTATCGATTTTACCTCTGTTTGCTCCAATTGTTTATCTATTATTTTATCAGAAGAGTCTGATAAAATCTGATCTTCTTTTGTACTATTTTGCTGTTCAGCAGGTTCAGCATTTTGTTCGATATCTTTTACTTCTATAAGTGGTGCTCTATTTACAATATTTTTACTTTCTTCTAACAAATAATCTTCTGACTTAGAACTTTCTATAGTTATTGATTTATCCGTTACTTTATCTGTATTATTATTTCCCGAATCTGTATGATTTTTTTCATCAGAAATAAATGTAACAATATCTAAGATTTTTGGTCGTTTCTTCGTCGGTGGTAAAATGTCTTCATTTGATCCACTTGCTTCTTCTTCTTCGTTTAATTCATTAGAACGAATATCATCTTCCTCTATGAATTCTCTGAAAAAATGAATAAATTATTAATTTCCACAATTGAAATGTTATTGTATATTAAATATAAATAAACTTTTCCCTTAAAATTACTTTGTTTTAGGTAAGCATAAAGTTGGTGCAGAAGGATGTATAATTTTTTCTAATTCTGATAATGCACATTTAGCTTCTTGAACAATTTGTGGATTAACATCGTCTTGAGCCATTTCAAAAATTTCTATAGCATATTCCGTTGCAGGTGCTAATGATTCTTCTGAATGTAAATGTAAACCTTTCAATAATTTTAACAGTTGTAAACGACATTGTACATTTTTCTTATAAAATGTTACTACAGGTGAATCAAGATAATAATCATACAAAAGTGAAATTACAATATTCTGTATGCCCTAAAACAAAATCAATAACATAATATTATAAATAATTTATATTATGCAATAGTAGAATATTCATATAAATAATTTTCAATAACAATTATCATTTAATCTTACTATATAAATCGGTGGTGTCACGTAACTATTAAATAAAATATTTTGTAAAGTTATAAGTGCTTCACAACACAAATCTACATCTAAACATGTATTCTTGTTAATTGCAATCATATTTTTTATCAATGGATTCATTTTGTATTGACCATCTCTCATACGTTTCAAAGCTTTTTTCGAGAAATTACCCGACACAACGCTCATCTATATGAAATATTCAAATTATTATTCAATTTTAATATTAATGACATTTATATTAATGTAAAGAACAAAACTTACAGTCAGTAATACAGGGTCTTTTTCTGAAACGACATCTTTAAATATGAAAGGAAGACATTCACTTATGATTGTTTCAATGCCAGATTGTTCATTGTTACTTAATAACCATAAAGACAAACATTTGTATGCAGATATTCTTATATCTTTAAATGGTTTTTTGGCACTAAGTGTTTCTTGATCTTTTAATATATTTGCTGTCCATTTTATTGTTTGATTAAATAACTTTAAGATAATTGATCCATATGGTAACAGTTCTTTTTTAAATCTACAAATAAAAATATTAGCAATTCTTTCTTTACTTTTTCATTTGATATAACATTATGTATATTATATATTTACCCATCTATAAATGCACTTAAAACATTAAATAAGCTAATGTATATCTTGGGTATAATAAAATATAATAACTGTCCTTTAATAGAATTTCCATTTTTCAAATACATAGGATTTATAGCTAAACCACGACATAATACTTTTAAAATATCATTAGGTAGAACAGAATTTCCTTCGTCGTATCCACTGTAAAAAAAAAAAAATAATAATATTCTTAAAAAATCATAACGTAGGTTATGTTATTGTTTTTAATATAAAATACTTACTTTAACATAGTTGATAAGTACACGCATAAGTTGGAAAATCGTTGTTGTTGTTTAGAATAGTATTTGAATAATAAATTATCTTCTGGAATATCTAATAAATCCAATTTATCCCAAATGTCAACAGTTTCAGTTTCTAAAAAATCAGAAAAAAGCTTATCCATTATTTCATGCAAATTGTTGCATATCAATGCTTGATTGTAAGTCCAACATGTATAGTATAACTTTGTTGGAGGTGGTTTAAAAGAACGTTGAGTAGTTCTAATAAAAAGTGCAAAACATTTAGCTGCCACACTAACTGAATTGCCTTTGGTAGAATCTATTTGAGAGAATATCATTCTTCTAATTAATTCCTGTAAAAATAATTCAAAATTAAAACAGATTCTACATTATCTTGTTATAATAAAAGATACATACCAGTGAACGTTCACAAGCTTCTGGATAATAATATAATAAAGTAGATAGAAGATAGTACGTAGGAGGACGGTTAATGAATGATTGAAGACTACTCAAAATATTTATAAGTTGTTTAACATTTTCCATCGATATCTGCTCTCGCAATTCTGGTATGGGCTTACATTGAATCATGACATTTCCAATAACATTACAAGTTAACGGAAAATTTTCAGGATTATTATTAATATTTTCCAATTCTTTAGTAGCCCTTCCTAACCATAACATGCCATACTTTAATAGCATGTTAGATGAGCATTTGGGTAAATATATATTTAATAGAAGAAAACCCTTGTATCGAGTAGCAGCTTCATTTAATCGATTATTGATCGTGGATGTGATTGAATTATGTACAAATCTTATCTAAAAAATATAAACATTTATAAATATTATTAAAACGTTGCTTACAGGTTATTCTTAAAGAATAATAAAGAGACATGAAATAAAGAGGTTAGGTCGGGAAATTCTTACAACTGTTGGGTCCATTGATATATTATCCCCTTCTCTAATAATATATTGCATAAATAAGTTATTTGAGGAATCTTGCTCAAATAATTTCATTAAATCCACAACATTAGACATTTTGTAGAAAATTACTTCACACGACTTTACTAAATAACTTGCAAGATAATCAAAATGATTTATTAATAAGACATAAAATTACATAAAGAACTAATTAATAGCACATTAATTAGTATTATGTAAACAGTAAATAATGTAAAAAATAAGTAAATCAAAATAATTCACATAAATAGTAAAATATATCGCGAGTGGTTGACGGCACGTGTACGTTAGAAACCGTACGATGCTTTAAATGATGTGACGTCACATTGATGACGTGATAATACGTGACGTGTACGATAATTTGTAGAGGACGCTCTTATCTACAGTCACGCCTCTGCAGGCCGCTTATACAACTATGCCTCAAATGATAAAACAAACTAACAACACATAAAACAATGAGAATAATAGTTAATGGCATTATACACGCTACACGACACACAACGCTTTGCATTCACCACGTGTTCCAAAAACTTATTTCAACTACTTGTTATACTTATTTGATACAGTTTTATTAATAAAGTTTTCTATATACGTTAACCATTTTTGTATATCTTTAATCTCGTGGTATTAGTAAGCAGTGATACCACAAATTATTGTACGAATACGCTAACTGGTGGCTAAATTCAGAACTAGATCGGTAAGAGGAATTCCTGACAGTTGATTTAAACTACATGATATTTATATGGAAATATTTATATTTTTAATTTTATGACTTGCTTATTTATTATTGAAAGTAGAATTATTCATTCTAATTGTTCGACCATTTTTTCATATTTCACCAGTTATTTCATTTGGATTATCTTTAATATGTGAAGTTTGTAAACAAAAAGCTAAAATATTTATAATATTACAATCACCACTTAGTACTTGTCCACACTTAATCACATGTCCAGCATTTAATACACTTTCACCGCAAACAAAATTTTTCTTGCTTGGTTTTGTGCAAGCAAATTTACAAATTTCTTGCAATGTAAGTTTCATTTTATTTAATTTCATTACAAAAAAATTATAATAATAATAATATAAATAATAAATAAATAAAAGATAAATAATTATGTTATAAACGTTGTTCTCTATTTTGATTATACAAGTAATGCACAGACCCATTTAGTCTCTAGTTCATATTTTTCCCGCTAGGGAAGTAAGTCCTACTCCTGCCAGAGATCCCAATACTAATCATATATATTTATATATGTATTAATAATAATTATAAGAGTTCAAGATACCGATACTTTCTATTTATATAAATATATAGAAAATCTCGTCACACAATAGTTTATTGTTTTTTATATTTATAATATTCTATTTTTCGATGATCTAATTTAAATCCAATTTCTGGACAATTGTTGAGGTTATATTGTCAAAATGTTGAATCAATTTAAATGTATAATATTATACATATACATTATTCAACAGTTAGATTGAAATAGTAATTTCCATCAGATCAATAAAGTCGAGCAAACTTAGGGACAATTAATAAAATGAATGGTTGACACATTTGGAAAAACAAAAGTAATAAAAATCGTATGCTATTTACTCCAGGGAGTTGGTAAAAAGATACGATATCTTGGTAGTATTGGATAGGTGTAAAAAAAGTGTTATAAAAAAAAGTAACTAGAACCAATATATAAAAGAGATAACAAACAAAGATAATATTATATGCAAATAATTATTATTAATATATTATAAATAATTAAATTAGATTGATCATTTTATTCGTTATTTTCTTATATGTAATAAACGTGTCAACGTGTTTTATAAAAACACATACACACATTATGCATGTGCATATACGCCTAAGCTGCAATACTTCAGTATGCAACTGACCTCAATCACAAAAGGAATTATTATGTAATTTTACGGTGCACTCGTTGATGACTATTTAAAATACTTCTTTAAGCTATCAAGGACGAAAAAAAAAAAAAACAAAGTTAAATCAATTTTCGACGTTCACTTTATTTATTCTCAATTTTCCATTATTCTATTGTTTTCGCGGTATATTTAAATACCTTTTCTCTTTCCAGTTTTTTTCTTAAACTCATATTATTTACTCTCACGAATATTTTTGAATATCTAATCATTCTATTGCTTAAGATAATGTTACAAAAAAAAAAAAAAAGAAATTACATAGAATAATTTATTTCTCATTTGCCTAAGCGGTAAATGATGTTCAAATCGTCATAGTATTCTTTTAGCGTAATTGTTTACATAGAAGTACCCACGCACACTACGTTACACAATTTTATACTTATTTAAATTGCATTATCAACTAATCGTTTTCAATAAATTATCTTTCATATTAATTATTTCATTAAAAATAATGCAATGACAAATAATGCCAAATAATTTCAAAGTATATGAGAAAATCTTTTCTATAGGAAGTAACAAAAGTAATAAAACTTAAAGATACAAAACTTTGCAATATAGAAATTATATTATTATTTATTAATAACTTTCCAATATATAATGAAAATAAAAAAAAAAACTATTTTTTATTTTGCTTCAATTTAAATCTAGATACAAACAAAAGATATGGGATGATACAAACATACATAGATAATAGATTTAATCTCACAGCATTCTGACAATGAGATGAAAAAGGATATAGAATACATATATAGAAGGGAAAAGGGAGCAATAGAGAATATTTCAATTATACACGAATATCCATATATATATATATATATATATATATATATATATATAAGTTAGGTTTGTATATAGTATATGTATGGTACTGTAAATATATTATAAATGTATGTGTTCATGTTTTCATATGTGGTGGAAGTTGACGCCTATCGGCCATCCTCCTTCCTGGTCCGTCTTTTTCTCCCTCTATGTCTCCCCACCCCATCTTCTGGTAACCTTTCTCGTTCTTCCGCTGATACCCTCCCTCCCACCTCCCGATATCCCTTTCTAACACTGGTTCCTTCTCGGTTCAGTTCCCCTACCAACCGGTGTCCAGTTATGTTGCCGTGTCGAACGCCGTTCGAATCGTTTCGTCGCTTGTTTTCAAGACGCGTTAGTTATGATACTCTTTGTAACTTATTCTTAAGTTACTACGGTATAACGTTCTGTGTCGTTAACTTGCGAACGCTTGAAGAAAATTCAATGGAAAATAGGATCGTGCCACGCGAGTGATCTTCAAAAATAATCTTACGTTGGTCCAGTTCGCGCGTGCTGTTCAATTCAAAAGAGAAAGAAAGAGAGAGAGAGAGAGAGAGAGAGAGAGATAGAAATACAAGTATTTGTCGTCCTGTCTAAACCTGTTAAAACATCACGGTTATGTTCTCCATCAAATCAACACTCATCGAATAAATTTCAACGCAGATCTTTTTCATTGGGAAATGGTCCACACATTTTCAGGTACGTCTGTTTTATTTATTCAGTGTTTTGTTATTCATATGTCACACACATATATATATATACATGCGCGCGCTAGATCGTAAAAACAAGGAACGGTGCACCTGCCATATTGGAACGCTTAATTTTCGTATGATTTTTAAATGACGCGTTGTACTTTTTCTTTCTATAATTTAAATCAAGTTTTTCATTCATATTTCTATGTACATATATATATATATATATATATGTGTGATATATTTATCAATCATTTTTCTCATCGAAATTTGTTTATTTATCGTGAAAAGAAAGAAAGAAAGAGAGAGAGATAGAGAGTACGGAACCCACCTTTTGACAGGTGGAATGCGGACCCCGTGCATTGCCGTGGGGTTCTGGTGAGATCTCTTTGGCGATCGCAGCGACGTCAGCGACTTACTTTGGAATGCGCCTTAACTGCCCCCACCCCACCCCACCTCACCGCACCTCGCCCCTCTTCCCGCCACTCATTTTCTTCTCCCACCATTACCGCGATTTCAAATTCTATTATATATTTATTATTCTATTATATTATCGTTGTGTTGTTGCTGTTCTCTTGTTATTGTTATTCTTTCTTTATTATTATTATTTTTTTTTTTAGTTTGTTTTTTTTTCTAGTTAATTGAAGTCATAAATTTGTTTATTTAAACGTTAGAATTTATTTAATTGAGAAAATAGTATTTCAATTTTAATATTAATATATATATATATATGTGTGCACAGAGAATACGATTTTATTAAATATTTATTTAAAATATTCTATCTACTACTCGTTTGAAATATACATAAATATTGTTCGGGTTTTTATTTTCTAATTTGTGAAATAAATTCTTATAGGAAAATAAAATTCTTCTTATCTTTCTCTTTTTAAAGTTGTAAGACTTCCTTTCACCAGTTTAATTAAAATCGCGAACCAGTTCGTTACGACTATCGATAGGTATTGCTGCTGACCTTTTTTGGATTTTTCCATTGAAACGTCCCCCCATTTAAAGTTTTTCGCAAACTTTTCCAACGATCAATTAAAATCATTGAGTCAACCAACAAACACACACCGATCGTAAAAGTTAAATCGTATATTTAATTAAAATATCCTTTTTTTTTTTCTTCTTCTTATTTATTCGTTCTGTAAAATTATTACAGGAGAGATTACAGAGAGATCATATTTTGATTAAACGAAAAAAATAAAAAATAAAAAAGAATAATTTCGATCGTTATTTTTAATACGTAGTAAATACGAACAAACACAAGGAGAAGAAGAAGAAGAAATTGAAAACAATTAATTTGTTTGTCTGACTATCAACCTAATTCTACGATTATAATTTGCAATGTAACCACAATGTGTGAGTTATTCGGTTAATCAACTGTTTCAAGATCAATAATAGATCGTTTATCATTTAATTGAACAGTTTTGTTTTTTTTTTTTAATAAATTGTCATAATATTCTTTCTTGATAGAAAACAGTAGGATCTCTTATTAGAAATAGAAGAAACATTCGTCTTATTAAGTTAGATTAAATAGGAAACACAATGATACACATATTATGTTAATTAAACTAATCGTTATGTAAATTTATGTTAATATATAAAAATAATCATGGAAAAACAAATTAATTTTCTAAGGACACATAACACAACTTCATGTAAATATTGTTCTTATGACAAATATTTGTTTCATTTTCTTATTCATATTTCAACATATGCGATACGATTTGTTATTTAACTTATTGTAATAAACTTAGTTAAGAAAATCACACGATC